ATTACTTCACAGTTTCTGGGAGTCAGAAATCCAGGTGCAGCTTAGCTGGCGCCTGCGGCCCAGGGTTTCTCGTGAGGGTGCTGCCAAGTGGTCGGCCAGGACTCCAGTCACCTGAAGACTCAGCTGGGACTGCAGAATCTGCTTCCAAGCTTCCAAGCTCACCCGCATGGTTGCTGGCGGGCCTCAGTTCCTTCCCATGTGGGCCTCTCCATACGATGGCTGAATGTCCTCACAAGGTGGCAGCTGGTAATCTGAGAGAGAGAGAGAAAAAAAGAGAGAGGGAGAGAGAGAGGCAGAAAATGCCCGAGACAGAAGCCACTGTCCTTTTATGACCTAATCTCAGACGTGGCATCCCATTGCTTCTGCAGTTTTCATTCAGCAGTCTAACCCACGCTCAAAGGGAGGGGACTCCACAAGGACATGAACACCAGGAGCTGGGGATCATCGGGCGCCATTTTGGAGGCTGGCTGCCTGTCATTCATTCAGCAAACATTCTTTATGCGCCTACTATATACCAAGCTTGGGCTAAGCACTTGGAATACAGCAGAGATAAGACACACACTGTCTCTGCCCTCCAGCCCTGCCAGGATAAATTTCTCTTAAGACTGATCCTTTTATACTAAAAGAGAAAGGAAAACAAAATAAAACAAAAAAGAGAAAGAGTCCTGTGTAATACAAAAGATTTCTAAGAACTCCTAGATGTCTACTTAGCTTAACCCACGGTCCCTAGAACAGAGCTGAGAAACCCAGCGCCTGCTGGAGCCGGGCTGGCAGCGTGGAACAGAGAGGATGCTCCCCTTCAGAGAGCAATGTGGTCAAGCATCTCAAAGGAGTCACTACCCCCATTCGAGTCTGGCCTGTTGTGGACCTACCCAAAACTGGCTCAGTACTACCAGACTGATTTTTCAAGAAAAGCTAAAAACTGGGATGTTTTATATTAAATCTCCTAACTTTGAATATGGGCAATGGTGACAGATTGTTTTCTGTCACTCATCTCCTGAGTCAAGGCAGTCTCTCCCTGTCTCATGTCCTGAGGCAAAGGCTTCTGTGCAGGCGGCTTATAGGGGAGATGATGCTGGGGAGTAAGCCCAAGGCCAGGGAGGGAAAGGGCAGTGGAGGAAAACCACACAACGATGAGTCCCCGGGATGCCCACTGCTCAGGGGCTAGATGCTGCCAGGACGTCCTGAGCCCCTTATGGCATGCATCTCAGCACTTCCCTCTCTGGGAATGGAGGGGCAAACACTTGTCCATCCACTCCCTCCCCTTTGGTCTAGGGTGGCCCCACAGGTGTTCCTTCCCCTGTCTTGCAGGTGGCGTGTGTGGGTGCTGAGAATTTCCCGCTGGCAGTCCAAGCCAGTACGTCAGAGAGACGTCCACAGCAGGTGCTGGCAGGCTGGGCCCGCTCCAGCTGGCTGAAGCAGTGGCCGGAAGAGGAGGGGGCTGGAAGGATCTGAAGGGCACACAAGTGGTGTCCCACAGAGGGGTCCTCCCTGCGGGAGGCACAGGCATCCCCATTCTGTTGAACTCAAGCTTGGCCACGTGACTGCTCTGGCCAACGAACTATGAGCAGAAGGAACACGCGTCACTTCCTAGCAGAAGCTTCAAGAGTGAGTGTGTGATGATTCACCATGCTCTCTTGCCCCCGTCATGGCATACAGCCACACTCCAGACAGAAGCTGGCTTGTCACCCTGGGTCCTGACATGAAGATGACACAGACTAGAGCCATAGCCAGCAACTTGTTGAGTGGGTAACTGCCAGCCATTAATTTTTCGGGGTCATTTGTTACTGCAGCACAGCCCAGCCTAACCTGACTGATGCCACAACCAAAGCAAAAAATAAAAAACTATGCAGGTGGTAGCCCCAGATACCACTTTATGACCTCTGTCTTAGAAGAACAAAACTCTAGTGTAATAAGTGAACGAACACGGTCCTTGAAGTTTGCTTTGCACACTCTGGGTTTGGGGGGAGTTCTGTGCTCTATACGCACATGCTGATGGTGCCAGCCATGAGCAGACAGGGAGGCTCATGGAGATAAGCCAAGCTCCAAGTCCTTCATGCTAACAAGCATAGCGAGAGGGTGAGACGGACATACCAAGCAGAAGGATGGGCAGAGTTTGGGCCTAAGGAAACACATGAGGTTGAAAAGTAGGCAGGAGGCATCAGGCTGAAGGGCTGAATTTCATGATCTTTCTCTCCACTGAGGAGAGGAAGGGACAAACACTCATATATCCACTCCTTGTGAGTTCAACAGGGCTTCTCAGATCAGCTCCCTACATTTAGCAACATCACCAAATAAATATCAACATGCAGGTTGAGTACAGAGCTACCGAACACATGAAGCTCTTTCCCTGCCACAGGGCCTTCACACATGCTGTGCCTTCTGTTTCAAACAACACCATAGAAGATGACATATAGCAGTAGAAATATAATGTGGTCCACTAATGTAATTTTAAATTTTCTAGTACTCACATTAAGAAAGATAAAAAGAAACAGGTGAAATTAATTTTAACTGTATTCTTTAACTCCATATATCCAAAATATTATCACTTCAACATGCAATCAATATTTAAAAAATGAATGAGATATTTTACATTCTTTTCTTTGGATTCTAAATCTTTAAAATCTGGCATGTATTTTTCTTCTTCAGTATATCTCATCTTGCACCAGCCACATTTCAAGTGTTCCATTGCCACCTGTGGCTAGTGGCTACTGTATTAGATAGGGCAGCTTTAAAATACACTTCCCCAGATTTTTCATGACTGGTTCCATCTTAGCTAAAACATCACCTGCTCCCAAATTTGTGATTGTGCTATCTAGAATAATAGCCCTCCAACCCCCACCACATCCCCCTGTTTATTCGTTTCCCGGGGCTGCTGTAACAAATTACCGCAAACGAGATGACGGGAAACAACAGAATTCTATCCTCCCGCGGTCCTGAAGACTAGACGTCTGAAACCAAGGTGCGCACAGGGCTGTGCTCTCTCTGAAGGCCTGAGGGGAGAGTTCTCTCTTGCCTCTTTCTAGCTTCTTGTCATTGTCGGCAATCGTAGGCATTCCTTGGCTCATGGCTGCATCACTCCAATCTCTGCCTCCATCTTCACATCGCCTGCGCCCCTCTGTGTCTATCTCTGCGTCTTTTCTCCTCTTCTTCCAAGGACACTGGTCTACTGGATTAAGGGCCCACCCTACTCCCGTAGGGGATGAAGCTCCTAATTATATTATTATGTAATGAAATGAACTAATTACATCTGCAGTGGCCCTATTTCCAAACAAGGTCATAGTCTGAGGTTCTGGGAAAAGCATGAATTTGGGGAAGACACTGTTCAACCCAGTACATCCTGTATGATTATTTGTGCAGTTTTGTAGAACTTAATGCTGTCTTCATCTGTCCTGCTTCTATTCTTGTTTAGCATCTGATGGCCCCACTAAAACGAAAGCTCCACGAGCATACAGCCCTAGCCTGTCAGGCTCATTGCTCTGTCGCCAGCACTTAGCAGAGTTCCTAGCACAGAGAAGACACTCAATAAATATTTGTTGCAAAGAGAAAGGGAGTGAGGGAGAAAAGGAGGGAAGAAGCAGGCTTTGTGGTTTGACATTTTCAAGATGGCGCATGGGAATCAAGAAACGGCCCACACTAAGGAGGGGAAATCAAGACAGTAGGGGTTTCCTACTAGGGGCTGTGCAGGTCTAGTGTGTCTGTCCTCCTCCCAGAAGCTTGAGGAGGTTGAGCCCAGCAGCTAGGGCTCCTGGACAGCCTCCCAGAGCTCTTCGTTCTCATCACTCCTAGAAATCTGCCCTCACCCTGACCTGCCGTGGGAAAGCAGCTCCCCGGGAGAGTGCGCGAGAGCAAAGGAGCTAGGAGGCACCTGCAGCACCCGCCCGGGTCAGCCCCTGGGCCAGGGTTCCCACTGGAGGAGCAGCGTCTGCCTGCAAGGGTGTCTCGTTCTCACAACTGAGGGCGCAAAGCAGCACTGATGAAGTCAGCTGCCTCCAGGACATGGAGAGAAGGGGGCCAGGTGGGGATAACCCGGGGCGTGTCCAGGTCAATGGGCGGCAGCCATGGACTCCAGGTGATCCTGCGCAGATAGGACAGTCTCGTATTTCTTAGCCTTCCAGTTTGTCAAACAGACTCTGAGATCTAGATTTTTAAATAAAATCATCTAATTAACAAGTGTTGGCAAGCAATTCAATTCTTAAAAACCACTCTGGAGGCCAGTCTCCCTCCCGTGAAGACACTGGTGGCCAGAGGTCACTTCTGATTCACAAGCTGTGGTGCAACACAATTCCTCAGTTTGTCTTCAAGAATTTGAAATTTCCAAACAGTGTGGATGGGAACCAGCAGAACTCCGGTCTGTAAACTTGCAAGTACACCGAACCAAAGAGGCAAGGAACAGGCCCCAAGGCCCAGAGTCAGGCCTAAGCAGACCAGAATGCCTCCTCTCCGGCCCCGACCTGGCCCCCAGCACGGAGATGGATCCTTGACCGCAGGTGCGTTTTGCCCAGGCCCTCCCACACATGTGTGAAGTGTGAGAAGTAAGGGCAGGGCAAGCCCAGCAGCCTGTTGCCCTTTTCCTTCAGTCCAACCAGGGACTAGTCTCTAGCATCCCCCTCCCAAACTCCCAGCACCACCTCGCCATATCCCCCAAAACCCTGCTCTTCCTCCCAGAGGGATCTTAGTTAAGAACGTCAGACCGGGTTCAAGTCTGGGCTTTGCCAAGCTCTCTAAGCCTCAGTTTCCCCATCTCCAAGACAAGGGCTAGGTGATACCCCAATTTTGTGCAAATTAGAGAAAGATACTCTTCCTCCAGTGCAGCCCTGAGCCAAAGCACACAGCTTGACGAACAAAGGACTGGACTTCAGACCCTCTTATCCCCTCACCTGAGTGCCCTTGTACAGTGAGCATCCTGCTCAATCATACACAACCACCCTGGATAGTCTCTCCGTTGTAGGCCTATTGTGAGAATTAAATAAGATATTGTGCTTAACACAATTATTTGGTAAATAATAATAACAGGTATTTTTATTTTAAATGTTTTACTTATTTTTCATACAGTGACATTGTCATTGAATGTCAGAGAACGGCATTGGTAAACCGTAAACCAGGCCAGGTTTTGGGGTCCTCAACATGCTTTTAGGTAGTGTGGAGACAGAGTTAATTAACAGCATTGAATAATGAGAAACAGTCCCTTTTCGATTCTTTCCTTTCTTCTGAGAAAGATTCAGTATTTAACAATTCCAACGCTGGCTAGACTACACACACACCTGGACCTCTAGAAGTCACTCCAAGCAAGCCACACGGCTGATAGGTGTCAACAGTGCGTGGATCGAGCTGTTTTTATCTTTCACAATTGCCTTTTATGGCGAGGAATATCTACTTTTCAATTTAAGGTAGTAGTATCAAGTTTTCTTTCCAAAAGCATATATCTACGTTTTTAAAATGAGTCGATTTAAGGGAAAATGTTAAGCAAATAATAGTAGAGGTGGTAGCCAAGGGCTTGAAGTTTGGGAAACGCCAGGCACTACAGAATTCCAGACAAGGCGAGATCCCAGCGGTTTTGATTTTGAACCAAGAGCCGTCAACTTTCCTAGTATGGAGCTGGAAGGGACCAGGGGGATCCCTGGGGACGTGTACTGTCCAGAGGTTCCCGCTCGGCCTTGTCTGGAGCTGCGGCTCCGTGTCCTTCCGATTTTCCAGCAAGGAGCAGTAGGTTCGCTCTGAGCTCTGCTGTTTGCACCCTCGGAGTTCCCGCCTTTCACAAGCCTTCGTCTCTTTGAGAGGCGTGCCTGGGTCCTGTCTCTAGAGCTCTGCGCATCTTCTCCGGGAGGGACTGGCCTCCGGGTCGGCTCCGTCCCGTTGAGCCCAGGCGGGAGCGGGCTCCCGACACACAGGGGCCTGCGCTCCCCTGACCGAGCGCCCTGCGCCCTCCAAGATTAGCCGGGAGTGAGCCGAGCGCGGTGCACAGTGTGGCTGCGTTTGATCCCGCGACGTGTCACTCGAAGTCGCAGTTTACTGCCATTAGACGACGTTGTCAGGCACTAATTTCCCGGTGGCGCTCCATCACAGACCTCCAAACATCAGGGGAGGGGGGGACCCAGAGGCCCGTGGGGAGGGGGCGCGAAGGAAGTGTCGTGAGCGAGGCCGAGCCGGGAGTTCCCGACCCGAGGCTTTAAGGAGAGGAGCGAGGCCGGCCCTCGTGGGGGGACCCAAGGAGGAGAGGCCGGCCGGCTCGGCCAGGTCACTTCCTCCCCCGGGGCCCCAGCACCCGGGAACCCGTCGAGGCCCAGCTGCGGCCACCAGGCCGGCTGCCCACTGCGGGGCTCTTTTGGGCCCGTGCCACCCTCGCGGGCTCGGAACTGCGGCAGGAAACGCAGCATTTCCATGCAACAATGCAAACGCGCTCATTACCATCTCCTCAATATGCATGAAGAAAAGGCGCTAGGCTGGCCGAGCCCCATCACCCGGCTCTGGCCTCCGCATCCAATAAGGCGACATATTCTTCTCCAAGATGGATGAGAAGGGGCGCCTCCGGGAAGGCAGATCCACCGGGGAGGGGACGGTTCAGGAGACGAAGAGGAGACAGAAAAGACACGCGGAAGAGAACCTGAGAGACAGACCAGAAATCGAAGAAGGAAATACGAGATTAGGGGAGAGAGAGAGAGAGAGAGGATAGAGATAAAGGAGGAGAAATGAAGATGGGGGAGAGGGACTCCGTCAGTCAGAGAGGGGAAAAGAGACACAAGAAAAGAGGGAGGAGCAAAATGAGAAAACAACTGAAAAGTGGTCCAGGGGGAAAAATAAAACAAGGAATAAGGGAGCGGAGGAAAGAAAGGAAAAAGGAATGACCTAGAAATCGAATACAGAGAAAGTGGGAGGAACAGAGGGACAGAGAAAAACAAAGGAGGAGGAGGGAGTGACACCTCTCAAGTCGGGCGGGAAAGGGGTGATCCCGGAGAGGTAAAGAAAAATCTAATCACTTGCGCTGGAGACCAGGGTTTTCCATCCAGTCCATCCCCAGCGCTGCGCGTCGCCGGCGGCTCGGAGACCCAGGCGCGCGGCCAGCTGGGGGAGGCGCAGGGCAGGAGCGGGGGCGCCGGGGGCTAGCCGGCCGGCCTCGCACCCCTCCTCGGGCGGCCCGGCCCGCTCCCGGGTGCCCGGGCCTGGCTGGGGGCCCACCCCGCGCGCCGCGGCCTGCCGCTACCCGGCCATTCGGGCGGCCTCTCCCTCGCGGAGAGCAAAGTTGGTAAAGTTTCTCCCAGTTTCCCCGACGCTTCTCCGGACCCAGAGCGGGGCCCCGAAACTCTGGTGGCTGGGGGGAGCGGCAGCCCATCCCGGGGTCTCTGGAGGCCGGCGGCCTGCGCCTCCTGGGCTTCTCGGGCTCCGGATTCCTGGCCAGAGAGAAGTCCCTCCAGGCGCGGACACGAGGCCACGCACTCGGGCGTCCACGCGGCTGCTAATAGCGGAGAGAGAGAACGCGGAAGAGAGAGAAGGAAAAAAATATTCTCAGCTCAATTTAAGTCTCATGGAAAGGGCTTACAACTGTAATTAAATCATTAAATTCTTGTCTACGCTTCACAGAGCGGAGAGAAATTAACTTCCCACCAACCTCATTTTCTATTTGAACATGAAATAATGATTTTCTGCCCGTCTAATTACAAAGCCAACATCTGATCAAGCCAGCATCCAGAGGGGATTATCACATGCACGAGTATTAGACCTCATTACCAGCTTGAGTGCAAAATTATTACATCTTGTAATTGGATGGTGAGATTTATATACAGATCGGCCCGGTTTCTGTAAGATTGTAATTACAAGCTTCGTTGGTTAGCTACTTATCAGAACTTTGCAGGAAAACAAAACAAATGACTGAGGAAAACGAGCATTTCATTAACCTGTAACCCGAGCGCAGGGGGGAGGGAGCGGTGGGAGCGTGCGCCGCGGCGTCCGCGGGAAGCGGAGCGATCGCCGGCCCGCCCTGCAGCCCGGGGACTTCGGGCCTGGGAGGGAAGGACAGAGGATGGGCCTCCGCGGGGAGACTCAGGGCTGCAGCGGCGCCCCCCGACGGAGACGTGCGCGCACCGTGGGGCTGCGCGAGGAGTGGGCAGGAAAGGGGTCTGGTGGTTCGCGCGCGGCTCCTGTGCAGTGCGCGGCGCAACCCTTGAACCTGACGGGCCACTAGCCCTGGGTGTACCTGGGGCCGCGGCTCCAGGTGCGAGTCAGGCAAGAGCTGCTGTGCGCGCCAAGCGTGTGCTATGGACACTCTCTCCGTGCACTCCCCACACCCTGCGCCGCGTTGACACAGCGTCGACACCGCGCCTCCGAAGCGCTTTGCGCGCTGGGACGTTGGAATAAGGCGAAACGAAGCTTTGCGTGCGGCGCGTTTGTTCGCGCACGCCCTTCCCAAATCAACTTCCCTCCCGTGCACCTGCTTTTCCTCCCCGGGCCCGTGTGTCACTTTAACCCCATGTCTTGGATTAAAAATCCCGGGGAAAGGGTCGGCTGTCCTCGTACCCGCGAGTTCAGTCCGGAGCCGGGCTCCACTGCCCCTGTCGAGTTGGGGAGCCAGCGCCACGACGGGGCTCGGCTGCCTAGGACCCTGAGTCCCGACGTGAGGCGCGGATGTCCTGGCCTGGCAGGGCTGATCCCAGCTGGAGACTAGGGTAGCAGAGAGGCCGCTTCTGCTCGGGACCTGGGGTGCCTGAGGGACATAATTACGCGAGGTCCTAGGTCTGCGTCTGGGTATGGAGGTTCGCCCTCTGGGCCAAGGGCGCCCCCGGGCCGGCGCGGCTGGTTCACAGCCTCGCCCGGGCCCCAGCCTCTTTCCCACTCCCTGCAGTCCGAGCAGCCAGGTCGATAGCTGGTTAATGCGGAAGGAGCATCTTCCGGGGCTCATTGTTTTCTCGTGTCCTTCTGGAAGAGCTGAGTTAAATATGGGGCGTCCTATCGGAGCACTGAAAGCGCAGCCCCAGTTTCCCCACCTCGGAAGCTCGCTCTTGGCTCCGCCCTGGGCTGGTGCCACCCCTCTGTGCAAATGCTAGGATTACGGGTCCGTCGAGGCTCGAGGTTTGACACCTCGGAAGCGCTCCGGGAGATATTGTTACCTCAGTTTTGTAACCACGAGGTTTTTCGCGAGAAGGTGAGCCCGTGATTCCCTACGCCGTTCGGCTGACAGGTTTAACTGTGAACGAAATCAGGCGCCGGGGAAACATTTGCACGCCAGGGATGCCCTGGCATCTCCTCCTCCGGAGAGGCTCCAGCTAAGGCCAAGGCTGGGCACTAGGCTCGGGTTGGGAGGGGAGAAGGGAAGTAGTTTGAGCCAATCTGAGAAGGCCACACTCAGTTTCTCCAGTCGAACCCCAAAGCTGGTCTCCCCTAAACGTTCTCTTCTCTTCTTCCCGATTTTCTCTGCGTTCGCACGTACTGGAGCCGCTGACCTGTGCGGAGACTGGTAGAAAGAGGCGGAGAGTAGGGGGTGGGATCAAAACCGGGTGCCCAAGGGGGGCTCATTCCCCAACTGACCAGAAACAGCCGGCCAAGACTCTCCGATCCCTCCACTCTGGTGGAATTCGGATTCGATTCATCTATCAGAGCGCGGCGGCCAGTTTCCGCCTCCGAGCCGGACCTGGCAACCGCAGGGCAGAGCCACCGCCCCGTTGTCCCCGGAGCGCTCCCGCCGAAGGCCTGGCCTGTGCCTCGGTCGCCGCTGCGGCCTACAGCGTTTAGCCCCGAGCCACCGCGATTCAGCGAATTTCAACCCCCTTCTCGGCTGCACGTCCTCATTCGTGGAGGTGGGCGCCCGGATACCGGGGTTTCAGGTTTGATTTAGGACATATCCCACTATAAAACTAAAAGTCTTGCCTCCCATCCCTACCCGAGATGGTGGGAGGATCCTTGTAGAAAGAAAACAGGTTGGCGCGGCGACCAGAGAGCAGGGGAAGGGGTAATGAAACGAAGATCTCTGCAGACCGAAAATTCCAGTATACAAACTTCTCGAAGTGCTCTCCGAAAGTTCCTAGAGCCTCCTCGACCCGGCCCTCTGCGCCTCCCCATCCCAACCATCCCAACCCGCCTATGGCACTGCAGGCTCCACCTTCCCGTCTTGGATCCCCAGGACCCCGGGGCGTCCACCCTCCAGACCTTCGGCCGAGCCCGCCATTTCTGATATGGGATTCGCACTGGGACACAGGCTGCGTTAACGTGGCAAATTTCAGGGTTTGGTCCTCTTGGGTAGGGGGCTGCTTCGCCCCCCTGGGTAGTGAGATAGCCTTTGAAGAGTGGACTAGAACGCACCCACCCACCCCTCCGCCCCCGACCCTCGCGCTCTCTTCTAGCTCCCCCGCCATGCCGCTGAGAGTGGCCAGGAGTCCGGAGGTGCGAGCTGCACAGGGGGCCCGGCCAGGGTGAAGCCCCAGTGCCTGCCCCAGACGGAGATCTCCTTCCCACCCAGGCCCCGAGCCGGGGCGAGCGGCGAGGTGCCGAGGGGCGAGGGGAGAGCTGACCCTCCACTAACCCGCGTCCCCGCCCCTCCCGCGCCCCTTCCTGGCGCAGGCCGGCCGGGCGGGGAGGGACTCTGAGCGCCTGGCTCCCGCCCCGCCCCGCCCCGCCCAGCGCACAGGATCCGCGGGGGTGGGCGGCCGCGCCTGGAAGGCGCCCCGGCGATTGGCGACTCGGGAAGGAGACGCGAGGAAAAGTCGAATAAGAGGACGCGACGTCAGACCCGAGATTTGGGGAAGGGCGAGGGAGGGGGCGAGGGAGGGGGCGAGGGAGGGGGCGAGGGAGGGGGCGGACACACAGACGCAGATACGGACATACACTTCCCTCCCCCAGCATAGCACCCTAAGTGTCCACAACTTTAGGCCGCCTTAGCCCAGAGCGCAGAGACCAAGGGTGGACGCGGGGGGAGTGCTGTTTGAGTAAGGAGAAAAAAAGAGAGAAGAGTGAAGGGAACAGAAAGGGGAGAAAAAGGAATAGCGAGAAAGGGAAAGAGGAGAGAGAAGAGTTTCCTAGCGTCCAGGAGAGTGAAAGCCCGAAGGAGCGGAAGCGATCCTGGGGGGAAGAGGAGTGCAGAGAGGGGAGGGGAGAGGAAGGGCGAGGAGGGGAGTGAAAACTAGAGGAGGGCGAAGGAAGCGAGGCGCGACACTGCTCGGGGAGAGGAGGGCAGTGAGGAGCGCGGCGCGGGCAGAGGCTGCTCCGGCTGCCGAGAGGAGGGAGAGCCGCACAGAGAGGAGGGGCTTGCGGGCCCGTAGAAATGTCAATCAGAGCCCGGAGCCCCGGGAATCTCCGCCAATCTGTTCGGACCTGACCTGGCTCCTCGCCGCCGCCGCCGCCGCCGCCGCGGAGCAGATCAATAGGCAAACGCGGAGCGCAGCGCAGCGCGGCCCCAGCCCGGCCCAGCCCCCGATGCGCGCCGGAGCCCGCGGGCGGCGCTGAGCTGGGCCGCCCCGGGGGCCGGACCCCCTCTCCGTCCGTGCCCCGCGGGCCACCATGTCCTTCCCCCAGCTCGGATACCAGTACATCCGCCCGCTCTACCCACCCGAGCGCCCGGGGGCCGCCGGCGGCGGGAGCGCTGGGGCCCGGGGCGCCCCGGGAGCCGGAGCTTCGGAGCTGGCAGCCTCCGGGTCTCTGTCCAACGTGCTCTCATCCGTGTACGGAACACCCTATGCTGCGGCAGCAGCGGCGGCCGCCGCCGCCCAAGGCTACGGTGCCTTCCTGCCCTACGCCGCCGAGCTGCCCATCTTCCCGCAGCTGGTAAGCACCCGGGGAGCCGGGGATGGGGAGTTGGAGCAGGGGCGCCGGGCAAGGTGAGCGCGCGGGAGTACACTAGCGGGGCCTGGGCCGGGAGGGTGGAGGCGGCCACCGCTCGTGCTTATCCTCCTCCGCGGGTGTCCCTTCCTTCTCCATGTGCGTACAGGGCGCGCAGTATGAGCTGAAGGACAGCCCGGGGGTGCAGCATCCGGCTGCAGCCGCCGCGTTTCCGCACCCGCACCCTGCTTTCTACCCGTACGGCCAGTACCAGTTCGGGGACCCGTCCCGTCCCAAGAACGCCACCCGCGAGAGCACTAGCACGCTCAAGGCCTGGCTCAACGAGCACCGCAAGAACCCCTACCCTACCAAGGGCGAGAAGATCATGCTGGCCATCATCACCAAGATGACCCTCACCCAGGTGTCCACCTGGTTCGCCAACGCGCGCCGGCGCCTCAAAAAAGAGAACAAGATGACGTGGGCGCCCCGCAGCCGCACCGACGAGGAAGGCAACGCTTACGGGAGCGAGCGCGAGGAGGAAGACGAGGAGGAGGACGAAGAAGACAGCAAACGCGAACTGGAGCTGGAGGAGGAGGAGCTCGGAGGGGAGGAGGAGGACACGGGGGGCGACGGCCTGGCTGACGACGACGAGGAAGAGGAGATCGATTTGGAGAATTTAGACGGCGCGGCCGCGGGGCCTGAGCTGGCCCTGGCTGGGGCGGTGCACAGGGAAGGCGACCTCAGCCTGGGACCCATTTCAGACTCCAAGAATAGCGACTCGGACGACAGCTCCGAAGGCTTGGAGGAGCGTCCACTGCCGGTCCTGAGTCTGGCCCCAGCGCCACCGCCGGTGGCCGCTGCTCCGCCATCTCCGCCCTCGCCCCCCACGAGCATGGACCCCTGCGCCCCCGCCCCCGCGCCCGCCTCAGCCCTGCAGAAGCCCAAGATCTGGTCCCTGGCCGAGACGGCCACAAGCCCAGACAACCCGCGCCGCTCGCCTCCGGGCGCGGGGGGTTCTCCCCCCGGGGCCGCCGTCGCGCCCCCAGCCCTGCAGCTCTCTCCGGCCGCCGCCGCCGCGGCTCACAGACTCGTCTCAGCGCCGCTGGGCAAGTTCCCCGCTTGGAGCAACCGGCCGTTCCCAGGTCCGCCGCCTGCCCCACGCCCGCACCCGCTCTCCCTGCTCGGCTCGGGCCCTCCACACCTGCTGGGACTTCCCGGTGCCACGGGTCACCCGGCCGCCGCCGCCTTCGCTCGGCCAGCGGAGCCCGAGAGCGGAACAGGTGACTGCTGAGCGCAGGATGCGGGGAGGGGGACCCTGGGGGTCGCGCTGGGGCAGGCAGAGTCTGGGCAGGGCCCCCGGGGCGCAGGGCGCTCGCCACCCCGCGCCCGCCTCCCATGGCCCTGAGCGCGGGAACGGAGCGCTCTAAAGGGCCTCCTCTTTCTTCCTGGCTTCCCTCAGATCGCTGTAGTGCCTTGGAAGTGGAGAAAAAGTTACTCAAGACAGCTTTCCAGCCCGTACCCAGGCGGTAAGAGACCTCCAGGTGGGGATGGGGCAGGGGTACAGGCAGGCGCGGGGAGGAAAGAACGCAGAGCGAAAGCGGGCTTCTGCCCCGGGGGACGCAGCTGGGACGCGCTTTAAAAGGAGACGAAACGCACTCCTGTCCCCGCGGGCCCAGAAACTGCTCGGCAGTCCCCGTGCAGGCGCCTGGCGCGGCCCAGGGTGCGGCGCTGTGGAAACCCGAGCCTGGCCGGGCCAGCAGGCCCTGAGAGCCGGCGGCGGCTGGGTGGCCACCTCCTTCCAGCCGCAGTCCTCGGCTCCTGACGCCTCCGACCCATCCTATAGTTGAGCCAGCAGACCAGCATCTCCATCTGGACATCCCTTTCCACTGGGACGCCCCCTTGTCCCGGGTCTCAGCCTCAGGTCGGGCCCCCCAGTCCTAGGCAGCGTCGGCGTCCCTAATTGTCCCTCCTTTCTACCACTGCCTCTCTCTTTCAGGCCCCAGAATCATTTGGACGCCGCTCTGGTCTTATCGGCTCTCTCCTCATCCTAGTTCTTTTTAAAAAAAATTTTTTAAATCGTTGTAATAATTGTAAAAAAAAAAAATCACTCTGTATAGTTATGACTTGTAAGCATGTCCGTGTATGAATACCTAAAAAAGAAAACTAAACAAACAAAAAAAGAAATGAAACAAGTTCCCTCAGTCTTCCCCAGGTCGCTTCTGTGCCCCACCTTAGCTAAGTTTGTGAGGTTTGTTCGGTTGATTTGGGGGGTGGAGTTCCAGTGAGAATAAGCGTGTCTGACTTTTTTTGTATATACAGAAAAATGTACATATGTGTGAACCAAATTGTACAAGAAAGTATCTATTTTTGGCTAAATAAATGAGCTGTTGCCACTTTGACTATAACCCGCCTGTCTGCCCCCGGCCGGATCCGTTTGGTCTTTTTGTTTTGTTCTGCCCCCACCCCCTCCAATGTTTGAAGCGTCGCCCGAGAATCTGCAGAAAGAAAGAGAGCTGGACCGTGCGGCGAGCAGAGAGCAGAGCGAGCAGCGCGGAGGGGACGCGCGGCGGGGCCCCGGCGCCGCGGGAGGAGAGGCGGCTGGAGCAGCGCCTGGGGCGCGGAGAGAGAGGGCGGAGGACACAGGTGGGAAACTGGGCCCAACCGGCCGGGCCACTGGAGCAACCGCGGCGTCATGGGGCCCTCTCTGGTGACATGGCAGAAAGACTTAGAGAAGGTTCTGGACGCAGAGCGGTGAGGTGGGGAGGGTCTCATAACTCCTGCGCCCCCATTCTTAGGTAAGCACAATTGAGGTTTTCTCAGTCTTGCATAAGGGGCTGTGCAAGCTCAGCTTCAAGCCCCGTTCCTACTACATTGCAGCCCCAGACTCCTGCTTATAGACAGAAGGGTGTGGGGTGGCGGTGAGTAGGGGGTGTATGGAGGAGCCAGGAGCCTAGGGGTGCACAGGTTTTCTTCTGGGTGACCGTGATCCGCCCAAATTGAGAGTTGGGGGCCCAGCGTCCTGGTGGCATCTGTGCATCCTGACACCCTCTGGGCGTTCCCCAAGTGCCCTGGAAGGGCAGCGCTCTGCGGCCCCGGCGAAGGGGTGGCGCATATTCGGGCTGTTGCACCATCCAGCCGGGATTCGGGCTCCAGGCCGGCGGGGATGGAGGGGGAGGGGAGGTAGGGAGTCGGGAAATTTGGGGCTGGAGCTCCCTCTACAGGACGAAAGGGCCGCCGAGCCTGCCTCCGCGCCTCTCCAGCCCGGCGGGCGTCGCGCCCCCTCCGCGCCCTGGTTTTTCTCTTTCAGTCCGCCGGCCTTGCCCAACTTGGACTTGGCGAAGTTGTAGGGAATGCTGCAAGAGGGACGCCTTGGGGAGCGAAGTGCGGGGTACCTTTTCACTATCTCTCTCTCCACGTTTAGTGAGTGAATTTACAGGGCGGCCAGATGTCTGGTGTTTGTCCCGCATGGTGGGGCATGTGACAATCTCGCGGGTCCCCGGAGAGGTTTGGGAGGAGCTTGCAGACCCGAAGCCAGGGAACAGGCACCGCGTCATACTGGGCACCTTGGAGGTTAGGTGGAGCCGAAGGAGCAGGAGTCTTGCAAGGACAGGTCCATGCGGGCACAGCTGCCAGCACCGCGCCTCCGGGGGACCCCCATCGAGGCGGAGCGGGCAGGTGTGGTGGCGCCCCAGGGGCGAGTGGGAAGGTGGGTCTGTCGGCGGGTGTGTCAGTCCGCAGCCCTTCGGCTCACTGGACGCTGGTAAAGCAGAGGCCGACACCAGGAAAGACGTGCCGAAGCTGGGGCTCGCTCCTCCAGCCAGCGCCTGCCCCGGAGGCCCGAGATGTGGCCGCGGCTCCCCCTCTTCCCACTCTTTGTTAATGATGTTACTGGGGTTCAGGCTTCTTCCCAGGTGGCGGGCTCAGACTGTGCTTATGCTCTGACCCTGGGCGCTACCCCCCCCCCCCCGCCCCCTCAGGTGGAGCCCGCTCCCACTGTCTGAGCCTTGAATGGAAGCGGCCCCTGGTCAGCATGAGTTCTTTACGTGGGCAACACCCCTGGCAGCCCTTCAGCTAGTGCCTCACAAGCTTCTCTGAAGCACAGACCTAGTTCCCCGACTTGTCCTGTGAAACTCTGGGCAGATAATTAACTTCTCTGTGCCCTATTTTCTCATCTGTAAAATGAGAATAAGGGCACCTACCTCTCAGGGTGGTTGTGAGGATGAGGGACAAAGCATGCCCAGTGCTGATGTGTGGTAGGTGGGGGAAACAGCCTTAGTCTTATAATTATATTCCAGAATCTCAGCCCCCACTCCTCAAATTCCAGGCAATATTCTGGCCATCCCTTCCCAACCGCCCTAAAAGTGAGGTGTCTGCATCAGGCATCTCCAGACCAGCTCAACCCAGGGGGAAAGGAAAGTTCTCAGGCAGGGGTGCAGCAGGAAGAAGGGGTGACAGAGAGGTCAGCTGGCTTTGCACACTGAGGGTGCAGCGAGGGAGGAAAAAATGCATGTGTCAGAGGGTAGGGGGTGGAGGGGCCGGGCGGAACAGAGAGGTATATCGCCATCCCTGGTATCTCTCCAGCGAAAACCTTGGGTTTGGTCAGCTCTTCACCATCCCATTCCAGCGATAACGGTCCTCCGACACACCAATTCTGCGCCCAGTGAAAGGGCAGTGTGTGCGGGTGCCGGAGGAGAGACGGCGTGAACCTGGGAGCACTTCCCATGTGTTTGTGTCTTCTCCACCCATAGAGCACATGGGCCCTCCAAATGGCCGTAAGGTGACCCTCATGAGATAACATGATCAAAACCAAGAAGAACCCCATGGACTTTTCAGCTAAAAGGGGAAGAAGAGCCTGTTCCCTTTCCCAGTCCTTTCATTTCACCAGGGAACAGGTCTTCATCATCCTCCATGGACCTCCACCCTGGTCCTCCTCTCATCTCCCTCCTTTCAGGAATCCTGGGAACCGCCTCCATCCTTTAGCCTCCAGCCCTAAAATTTAAAAAGGAAAAAGGAAGCAATGGGAGAGAGAGAAAGAGAGAGAGGGAAGCCAGAGAGAGAATGAGAGGAAGTGAATCTATGGGAATCCCATCCTTGGTCCTGATTAAGCTTCAATTAGAAATAAAATATGTCAATCACTGCCTGGAAGGGGTACCTGCTGTCCAGGCTGGTTATGCAAAGCATTCCACGGTGTGTGGGGATAATCAGTCAGGTCAGAGGAGAGAGAGTGTGTCACTGCTTCCCTCATTATCCGCAAGGAGCTGGAGGTGGGGGTGTGCCAGCAGGCCAGGGAGCCAGAGGAGAACAAAATTATCTCCCAGCGTGATGGCCCACCTCTGGGACTGGCACATCCGCAGTTCCCAGTGGATTTATTTTCAGTTGCGCACAGGCAGGAGGGAGCAGGGTCCAGCCAGAAGGCGACATGGAAGGGCCAGCGCAGCAGAAACTGCAGAGAGGAAGGGAGGCTACAGCCACTCACTTGCCCCCGGTGAGGAGTGAGGAGAGGGCAGGGCCTCACCTACTGGGCAGATGTTCTCTGGGCACCTGGTGGGAGGTAGGACCAAAGGTTCCACTGTCTTAGGCCTGAGTTCTGGAAGGTTCGCAAGAGGGATTGAATGCTTGGGTAGGAATGAGATGTCAGACCTCTTCACTGGTTTGCTGGGAGTTTCTGTCAGGAACTCGCTTTGGTTCTAATTGTTTATATCTTTCTAGAAACATCCTCTGCATCCTGTAATTCCTGATCACACGTACTCTCTACCTCCATCAAATGAAAATGGGCAATTGCAGGGGTATAAAAATTGTGTCTGTGCATAGAGCTGTCTCCAACTTGAGTGGGGGCAGGTCTCGTCTTCTCCCAAGGCCCCACTTTCACCATCTGCAAAATGGAGGGCACGGGATTTGATGAGTTTACCCAAACTTTCTTACACATCCAAGGCTGCCCAGGATTAAGCATAATGGAGGGGGCCCTTAACCTCTCCAGACACCACCTCCTGATCCTAATTGGCCTCTGTCATCCCATCCAGCCAGCCAACTTGACCACATTAAAAATGTCCATCTATTGTGTGACCAACCCACCTTTGATGCAGCTCGCCCCTGAACAGAGGCTCCAGCCCCTCCAAAGGCCATCCTGAAAGTTTGGGTGGAAGACCCCACGAGGCCTCTCTTCCTGAGCGGGGAGGGGCGAGAGACCTGGAAAGCTCCTGAGAGTAGAACAGTAGTTCTCGGCTGGGTGAGCACCCCCTCCCCGCTCCCAGGTCATCGGCAGTGTCTGGAGAGATTTTCAGTTGTCATATCTGGTGGGCGTGCTACTGGCATCTCATGGGTCGTGAACAGGGTTGCTGCCAAAGGTCCTACAAGGAACAGGCCAGTCCCCCCAACAGAGAATTACCCGGTCCAAAATGTCAACAGTGCCGAGGTTGCAAAACCGTGGAGTCGAGGGAGGAGCGAGTTTCCTCCAGGTATTTTCTCCCAGAAACCACAGCTTTGTGGAGAGAAACATTAAAGCAGGGTGCTAAGTGGGACACTTTTGTTCTTTAAAAACTTTTGGCCCTGGAAGGGGGAAGTCGGGGTGAGAGAATGCAAACAGGAAACTATGCCAGCCTGGGAAAAAGAGAGAGTGGGTTCAGCCCAGCCTGGGGCCCGTGAGCCACTGGAGGTGGGACCGGCTCGGACGAGTAGGACAGAGTCAACCCCAAAGAACATGTGTGTCTCGAAAGTTGGGGCCTCTCTCCCCGGATATTTATATCAGGAGCAGGTTACTGGAATGTTCTTGCAGATGAAAGCTTAACTCCTGTGGTTTTGTCTCATAATTATTGCCACCTCTTAAGTGCTGCCAGCCCTTCTGTGCACATAAATGCGTCTATTTATTTACTTGGTTGCTTTCCCTGGGAGAGTGTGTGTGTATGTGCGTGTGTGTGTGTGTGTGTGTGTCTGCGCGTGCACACATCCCATGTCAGGGAGCAGGAGGGAGACAAGGGCAGGGTAAGGTCTTACTCTGGGCCGGGCCGTCCAGGCCGGGCGGGCTGTGATTTCATGGCTTTTGTGCAGGGTGGTGAGCCCTGCATTCTCTCCCTGCTCCCGGCCGCTAACAAGTGGGCCCACAGCCCTCCGGGGCCTTTCGAGCGCACTCATCTGAAAGATTGTGCTTTTCTCAGCCGCTCAGATTTATTTTGCCAAAGTTACAGGGCAATTATGGAAATGCGCCCTTTGAAGCTGGGCTGATTTCTCTTTATTTTCTTCTCCCTGACAAAGCAGAGCTTCCCTCCCTCTTGTGGGCTCCCCCCCCCCCCCTTTTTTTCTGATAATTATTAGATAGCGGGAGTTTCCAGGGGTAATTTAAAAAAATCTTTTGCACGGTGATAAAAATGCGTTTAGATGAAAATGACATTACTGTTCTTTTAATGTTCTCTTTTTTCAAAAGTGGGATTTTGAGGGCCAGGAGGGGAGAAGTGGATTAATGATAGCCAGAGACAGACACCTCATGGCCAGATTGTGGGTCCAGGACATCCTTGCCAGCCTGAGGCCTGGTTTCAGGGAGGCCTATGCAGCCTGGCAGGCCACCTGGCTGGCTAACAGACTGGCCCAGCCCTGGAAGCCCCATCGCATCTCCGCAGATCCAGCAGGCTAGGCGCCCTGCTCCCCTTTCTCACATCGAGGGGATAAGAGGCCCAGACTCCCCGGAGCTCTGTTTTCTGGGATTTGTACATTATTCATCACCGCAGCGTGGAATCTGGAGGCTCTCTGTGAACCAGCAGCACTCACTTCTCTCCTCCTGCCCGGCTCTGCTTGACTTGACGCTGGGGCGTGGAGGAAAAGGGTGTGAAGTCAGGTGGTGTCGACCTCAGTGCTGGCGAGGCCTCTGAGGGGGAGAGTGGGCCTGCGTGGAGTGGGGGCTTCAGTTTCTATTTTTCAGAGCGGCTTTGAAGTCCTCTTTGTCCATATTCTCCTTTGCTCCTCCCTCCCTTCCCGTCTTTGGGGTGAAGGCCTCATTCTCCATGCACGAACACCAGCAGGAGGTCCCGTCACCTTCAAGAGCCGTGGGTCGGCCTCAGTGGCCTGTCCAGAGTGGAAGCTGTTTCAGCTCTCACTTCCTTTACCCTGTTTAAAAAACATAAAATAAAATAAATAAGATGGAGTCAAACGCTTATTATTATAATGCAGACTCCACGCTAAGCCCTTCCCATGCATTTTAGTTCGTGTTCACAATGGTTTAATGTGTGAGGACGGCACAGATGAAGAGACGAAGCCTTAAGGGGGTGGGGGAGTTTCAGAAACTCTTCTGGTAACGTGGAGCAATCTCCACGGAGTGAAAAAAATCGAGGCAGGACATTCCACATGGTACGTTACCATCTGATTTGTTTGTATGAGAAGCTGGTAAGAGTGGTTGCTCAGCGACAGGACCTGGGCGACTGGGGCTCAAGGACAGGAGGAGTATTTTTCAGTTTACTGCCCTTTGCTCCTTGTGAACCATGTGAACGTGTTAGCGCTTCAAAAAGCTTTTTTGTTTTTAAACAGCTAAATTGCATGAGAGAGCCAGAGAGAAAGCAACTTCTCTGGATCTTACAGCAAAAGTGAGAATGAGTCATTCATTCATTCACGGGGCACCCACAGAGATTCATGAAGCACCTGTGTGCCAGACCACGCACCTCGGGGGCGGTGGTCCAGAGGGTGGGCCCCGCGGTCACACTGCCTTGGTTCAGACTCCAGCTCCATCACTCCCAGTGTGACCCTGGGCTACTGACTGCCCTGCTCTGAGCTTTGCTCCCTCATAAAAAAGAAAGAATAATTGTAATTTTACCTCCCTCATAGACTGTTGGGAGAATTAATGAGTTAATTCATACTTAGAACAATGCATCATGCATAATGATTTGCCTCATGCATAGTAATTACCTAATAAATTACAAATACTATTTTTATTAATTATAACAACCCTAGGCAATAGGCTTCATTGTCCCCATTTAGTAGATGGGTAAACGTAAGGTCAGCTACTTGCTCAACGAGCCCAATAAGAGGGAGAGCCAGCCTTCCGACCCAGGCCTTCTGGATTCCAGCGGTCATCCGCAGCGGAGTCTCCCGCTTGTTGGTGCATCGGGATTCAGGGTGGAGTGCTCTGCAGCTGTGACGCCACTTTGTCCCCACCCCACTCACCTCCCTGACGCACTTGGGCCAGATCCTGTCTCGGACAGGCCAAGAGTGTAGGCGGCCCCAGCACACCAGCTCTCGCTGCAGCCCACCTGCTTCTCCTGGGGAGATGGAGCTGAGTGCAGGCGCCTGTGAGTGGCTGGATCAGACACAGCCCTGACTCTGTTGCCTTTGAGGGTATTTTTTTCAGTAAGTACAGGGCAGGATGGGCTCTCTGTCTCCTCCTTTCCTTCCTCCTCATCTTCAGTCCTGGTGGAAAAGGCCTGTCAGTACAGTTATGCACCAACATTTCGCTGTAAGAGACCATCCATATTAGCAGAAGAAAGGCGTGTCCTCCTTCTAGATCTCTGCTACTCGACATGTGGTCCCTGGACCAGCAGCATCAGCATCAACCTGGGAGCGTGTCAGAAATGCAGACTCTCGGGCCCCTCCCAGATCCGTTAAATCAGAATCTGCATTTTCCTAGGATCCTCTGGATGACGTGTGTACACATTAAAATGTGAGAAGCGCTGGTCTAGACACTCCTGGGTAAACCATGGCCCCTTCCGGAATGGGTTCAGGAACAGTCTTAGAGCCTTGGACCTCCATGGGATACGTGGGAGGGAGGATGCTGGGGGTAGAGGGGTGGGCAGGAAAGGAAGGAATGAGAAAGTTCGAGGGTAAAGATGCCAAGCGCCACCCTGAGGCTGATCTTGCCAGGGCTGAAGGCGTATTTTGCCCCTTCCTCCAGCCTTAAGCATGTTCATGGTCAGCTGTGAGTAACACTGGGTTCCTCATGGCCACAGCCTCTGTCCACATGCCCTTCCAGGTATTTCACAGCATAGGGATACATGTAATTCAAAAATGTAGGACTTTATTAAGAGTAACTGATCTCTTAGAGCATACCTCACAGCTGATCCCCACTAAACTCAGGGACATCTCATGAAGGGGGGAGGGGGAGGGGAGGAGGGGCGGTGTGGAGGAAGGGAGGACGGGAGAAGAGGAGGAGGTAGGAGGCAGGAAAAGGGGAAGGAAGGGAGGCAGGATAGCAGATCAACCGTTCTGAATGGGCACAATATTTTGGAGGTAGGAGCCCTTGAGGGCAAGAACTGTCTCATTCACTTATTTTTATTCATTCATTTGTTCAACAATATTTATCACTCGGGAAGACACAGTATGAAAAAAATCCCTGCACCCCTGAAGCTTTCAATCTACTAGAAACAAATAATTTAATAATAATAATTGTGCTGGACTGTGAAGATGCTGTACGCATGCATAAGGAGGAGGGCCCTGACCCGGCCTGCGGCGGGACGGGTGGAGGAGGCGGGTACGGATGCAGACACTCGTTCTTGGGTCTGGGCACACGAGGGAGCCTGTAGCGCGGAGGGGAAGACGCAGCTCTAGACCTGGGCGGTGGCGCACTTGAAATGTGGCTCCTCCTAACCTGGAGATGCTGCAGGCACAAAATACACTCTGGAATTCAAAGATCCAGTACATTCAAAGGAAAAACAGGGGCCAGCCTAGTGGCAAAGTGGTTAATTTCGCACACTCTGCTTCAACTGCCAGGGGTTCACGGGTTTGGATCCTGGGCGCAGACCTGCACACCACTCATCAAGCCATGTTGTGGAGGCATCTCACATACAAAATAGAGGAATGTTGGCACACATGTTAGCTCAGCGACAATCTTCCTCAAGCAAAAAGAGGAGGATTGGCAACAGGTGTTCGCTCAGCCACAATCTTCCTCACCCAAGACAAAATTTAGAAAAAGAAAAAAAGAATGGAAAGTATCACAGTAATTCTATGTTTCTTACATGTTGAAATAATATTTTGGATCTATTGAGTTAAATAAAGTATATTATTAAACTTAATTTCACCTGTATTTTTATACTATTTCTTTTAACACAGTCACTAGACATTTTTCAATGACGTGTCTCTGGCTCTCCTTGTGTTTCTAATGGGCAGCGCTGCTCCCCAAGACTGAGATGCTGGGAGCCCATATTCCAGCACCACTGCTTCCCAAGGCACCTTGGGTAAGCGAGCTTAGCTGCTCTGAGCTGCAGTGCCTTCCTCTGTAAATTATGCCCTCTGGCGTTTATTGAGCAGAGAGTATGTGCTAAGCACGTGAATTCAGTCATTCCCCCTTCACAAGGTCCTAGGAGGTAGGTACTATTATCCTGTCCATTTTACAGCTGAGGAAACTGAGGCTCAGAGAGATGCGAGTCACCCAAGCCCACACCCCCACAGAGTGGTGGGGACAGCATTTAACCCAGGCAGCCTGGCTCCAGAGCCTGCACTCCAAATCACTACACTGCCAGGCGCATAATAATGGTACCCACCGCGCAGATGCTGTGGAGACTTTCCACTGAGGCAATAACGTATGTAAAGCCTTGAACACCAGACACCATGTAAGTGCTCAATAAGTAACAGTGTTATTATTCAACACAGAGCTTTTTGCCAAAAAGAACCCAGATGCTATGCAAAACCATAGCCTGCTTTGGCACGAGCCAACATTAAGGCAGCATATTTGTTATCTATTGCCACATAACAAATTACCCCAAAACAGTGGTATAAAACAACAAACGGTTTTTATCTCACACTTTCTGGGCATCAGAATTTCAAGAGCAGCCTAGCTGGGTGGTTCTGGGTTGGGGATTCTCATGAGGCTGCAGTCAAGATGTCATACAGGGCTAGAGTCACCCGGAAGCTTGCCTGGGACTGGAGCACCCACTTCTAAGAAGGCTTGCTCACCCAGCTGTGGCCCCATGAATCTTTCCTCAGGCCTGCTTGACTGTCCTCACAACATGGCAGCCATCGGCCCTCAGAGCAGCTGACCCAAGTGGGAGCAAGATAGAAGGTACAAGGTCTTTTGTGAGCCAGCTTCGAAAGTCACACTCCATCATTTCCTCAATCTCCTACTGTAGTTATGCAAGTCAGCCCGTTCAGTATGGGAGGGACCGTACAAGGGCAGGAATACCAAGAGGCAGGGGTCCTTGGGGCCATCTTGGAGGCTAGCTACTACCGTCACTGACACATCTGTGTGACTTAATTTAGCACCTGCTTTCCTTTCTAAGAAAAGATATTCATGGATCCTGAGAATATGGGTGCCTGGGTGTAAGAGACAGAAACTCAGTCCAAACAGTCTTTTCTAAACAAGGGACTTGTTGGTTCATGTGACTGGGGAAGACAAGGTTGGATAAATAATAATAATATCTAGTACTTTATTTATTGAGCACATACTAGGTGCTCAGCATATGTATTAACTCATTTAATCCTCATGAAGACTCTATGATGTAGACCAGAGATTTGAAAGCATTAGTACCTTCTGTTTTCATTTCAGCTTCTGCTTCAGTGTTGCCCTTCCTGTCTCAGACGTCTCCAAGTGGCAGGTACACAGTCGTCATTACCTCTGTGGCCATGGCCTTAGAGCTGGGATCCAAAGGAAAGAACTCTTGCCTAGTTTCAGTTGTAAAAGCCCGAGGAAGAGCTCTGATTGACTCAGCTTGGGTCACGTGTTCATTGCTGGGCCAATCACAGTGGCTGGGGGTGTGGCAGGGAGAGGAAGTTCCTTAAAGAAAGTGATGGTGCTAAGATCACAGAAAGCGGGGAAGTGAGTCTGGCAGACACGGTCGGTCCACATCTAGAGTGGCAGCGGAAGGGTGCAGGAGGAGCAAGGGAAGGGAGATCCGTGAAGAGGTTTGGGAGCCAGGTGAGAAGGGAGAGTAATCGGTCACTTCACCAAAGTCCAAAATCAAAGGCAGACAGCCTCTCAGCCCTTCCAGGCCCAGAGTCGCCATCTGATCCCATTGTAAGATGGGTGCCGGTCACACCACAGCTTCTCAAGCTTTCCCACCCGTAGTCCTAGGTAAAGGGGGCATGAGTGCACAGCCTGAGGAATCTGAGGCCAGACCCAAAGTGGGCCTCCAGAAGTGGGCGAGGTCTTTTGTCTTCACTTGTTATCTTTGCAGGAGTTTGCATCTCCTCCGTGACATTTCCCTGTTTGTCATGTTATAAAGGAAGCTTTTCCCGTAAACAGCTTCAGATAAAATGAGTAATTCAGGGTCCTATTTATCCCGTGGCCTTGATATCTGCTGGGACACTGCTGGGTGCTGTGGAGGTCTGGTGCCTTCATTCAAGAAGCTTGCGCACACGGGGTTGACAAGAGCTGGATCCCAGTGTCTTGGGAGGATGACAAAGGGCAGGAGGATGTGGCTGGACTGGGAGGCTCAGGTACATTTCCCCTTCTCTTCATTGCCCCTCCGCCTCTCGTCCCCTTCTACACCTGAGCCTGAGCTGGAGGATGCACCTTTGGCTGGGGATTGTCTTGGCTCTGGGTGCAGCATCCCTGGCCCTACTATTAGTGAGCACCCAACACGTATTCACGGGATGCCTAGGTGCCCTGGAATTCAACAAGAAAATTGGGCTTTTCCTATAAATGTCTTTGAGATTGTTAGGAGCATCACTTGCAAGTATGTTATAAAAGAAGAATTATTAATCATCATAATTATAAATATAGTTTTTAAAAACATTTTAATAACTATCAATTATAATAATTTTAAATATATTTAAATTATAAAGTGTAAAATTATAACTATAATTTTATAATTATAAAGTGTATTCATGATAAAAGACAAGGACCTGTCGTGTTTTCCTGTATGAAGTCAGCATGAGAGTGTGGTTTGAAGGCAGCAGCCACTCCATTTTTAGTTGTCCTGTGTCCTCTCCCTGCCTTCCTTGAGCACCCTAAATATACACGTGGTCCCTCCAAACCCCCCACATATTCAGGAGCAGTCAGGACCACTGATGAGGTCCATCAGTGAGGGGTGGGCCAGGGGGCCTGTCGTAGGCTCTCACTGACTTCCCTAAGATGCTCCTTTATTGTCCACATACCAGTCAGGCCAGGAAGCCTCCACACCAGGTCTGTCCTCCCGGCAAGGCCCTGACCTTTCATGTCCTGGAATACAGCGGAAGAACAGGATGGCACAGCCCAGCTGGAAATAGTACTTGGGAAAAGGCCATAGACTTGACCGCTTGCTCCACAGCACGCAGAAGGGCCATTGCCAAAAATATAATTATCCAGAAAGGTGGAACGAAGACACTGCAGGAGAGAGAGGCTGAGCAAAGAGGGAAGTGGAGGGAGGGGACAGAGGGGCCAACGGAGGCAGAGCCCTCCCCGTGGATGGGCAGAGGCCCTCTCATGGCCTGGGGAGCTGCACAGTCCCTGGGGCATAGGAGGTACCAGGCACTGGGGGGACCGATCTGCAAATGGGGGCTTCTAAGGAAACTGTCTCGACTCTTCAACCTTTCCCAGAAAGAGAGAGGCTCCTTCCACCCCACCACGCTGGGGACAGTCAGACTCCCTCACAAAGGGAGAATCAGGTGATCTCCCCTTGAGGGAGGCAGAGGGGGAACCCACCCAGGGAATTTCCCGGGTCCTCAGATGGGACTTTTGTGATGGGAGCAAAAGATGGACCAGGAGTTTGCCTGTGGAGAAACCACAGTGGAATATTTTCTTCTTGCCGCCTCTGAGAGCTTTGGCTCACAGGCTGTCACGCAACTGCTGAGCTCATGCTGGGCCAGGGTCCACTCTTGTTCCAGTCCTCACTGGCCTGATAATTACAGAAAAGCTGGTGTTTCTCTTTGCTCCAGCAACACTCCCTCAAGGTCCAAAACATGATTATTAACCGCAAGTTATGGGACACCTCTCCATCGATATTAGCATCTCCACCCCTGAGAATGCATCGTAACACACCCCAACACATAGGTGTGACATTCGAAATATTTAACAACCAGGATCCCGCTGACATCAGAACTGCAGGGTGCTGAGGCCTCCTGCTGGGCCAGGCAGTGAGGGGTCAGACTGTGAGTCACGGGAACGTCCAGGTGGTCCCCAGGAAGGGCCAGAGCAAAGACAGGACACTGTTTACCAACTGGCCTGGAACTATTTCTATATTTTAAAAATGCAGACAACTGGATATCCACATACAAAAAAATGAAGTTAGATCTCTTGCTCGTTATATACACAAAAATTAACTCAAAATATATCATAGACTTAACTGTAAGAGCTAAAACTATAAAACTCTTAGAAGAAAATAAAGGCATAAATCTTCATGACCTTGGGCAAGGTAAAGCCTTCTTAGATATGACACCAAAAGCACAAGCAACAAAAGAAAGAAATAGATAAGTTGGACTTCATCCAAATGTAAAACTGTGTGCTACAAAGGATACCATTAAGAAGGCAAAAAGATAACCAATGGACTGGGGGAAAATATTTGCAAATTATATATCTGATTAGAGAATTGTATCTAGAGTATATAAAAAACTATTTCAACTCAGTAATAAAGGACAACCCAATTTAAAAATGGGCCAAGGATCTAAATAGACATTTCTCCAAAGATAATATACAAATGACCAATAAGCACATGAAAATATGTTCAACATGATTAGTCATGAGAGAAATGCAAATCAAAACCCTAACAAGATACCACTTCGCATCCATTAGGACGGCTGTAACAAAAAAGACAGGTAGGACCAGCTCCGGTGGCCTAGTGGTTAAGTTTGACATGCTCT